AAAAAGCAATAGATTCGGGTGTTAAACTTTCACATAGGAGCGTTGTCCGGAAAAAGCAATAGCTTCGTGTGTTAAACTTTCACATAGAAGCGTTGTCCGGAAAAAAGCAATAGCTTCGTGTGTTAAACTTTCACATAGGAGCGTCGATTATCATGAGTTCACGTGCTTTGAATAAATATATACGTGTTAAAGATTTATTGTGCATTGAACACTTCTGTAGCTTGACGTTACTGTTTCAATTGTTTTAGTTACAAGCGTTCTGGTATAGGTGGCGCAGTTGAGCAACTCAGCAAGAATTATAGCTCCTATCACCGGATTAGTTACAGGTCACTTCTGTCTCTGTTCTGCCCATCCGGCACGATTTGGCAGAACTTTAAACACGTGACCTTACTGTCTTTCAACACTACTGGTAGGTTATCTCAATATTGTCATATAACTCACCCCCATAAGGTTATGAGTAGAGAGATTTATCTTGTTAAGCCACAACCTGCTCGAGGTTTCTTACGATAACATACACTCGCACCCAGGGAGTTACAACAAACCATGACGTCTCTATTATAGTAAATACAGCTCCAACACTCTACGGCTGTTCAGTTTCTCGATATATCTTTTTACATACCGCCGAGAACACTTACAGCGTCAGATGACACGACATTAAAAGACATATTTGTCATTTTTCTCCCAAGACGTATGTTAGCACTTGATGTCATTTAGCAGTAATAAAGACTGAAATAACTGGAAATTTCATCAACAAGATTCAAAACAACAAAATATTCAGAACAATTCATAAGTCTTCCTAACCTTCAACGATTGTGTATGAAAACATGACTCAATAACAACGAAAGATTTAATATAACCAAGGGTTAACGCTATCATTACTTATTTTATCCAGCTCTCTGTTACCTTCCAGAGGTCTTGCACTGACGTAAAAAGTCACGTGGTCTGTTTCCTCCGCTTTATTGGACTTTAACTGCTCAAATTTGTCTTAGGTGAAAAATGACAAACTTGTTTTCCAATGTCGTGTTAGGTGACGCTACAAATCATCTCAGCGACGTTTTTAAGACAGATGCATCGCGAAACTGAATAACTGTAGTTTCGGATCGTATCTTTCGCCAAAGGCGATATTTATGTCATTGACAGCATGTAAAGTCTTACCGAATCTTGTATTGCTATTGCTGTAACGTGTCATATCGTTGAGCAGGTTCTTTTGGATTATATGGTAAAAATAATGCCAAGTTCAGTCCATGTAGGGATAACGAATTAACTTATTTCTTCTATAACGTGCGCTACAAGCTAAAGGCACCTTGACACAGGGTATAGGCCTAAGTTTACAAACAACATTTGAACAGGAAATCCAAGACTCATGGTACACCTAACTTACAAATAAAGTTACTTACAGAATATCCTTACTGATTGATTGATTAATTTAATAGACGTGATAACTCTCACTACTAACACTGAACTGAATCATTCACTAAAGACTTCACTGAATCCTCGTTGAATACTTCATAAATTGATTACTCATTGAGTTGACTGTAAAATCTACTTATGCAGCTCAAGTGTAGAGGACGACGTTTCGAAAGTCTTCCGCCTTTCGTCTTTAGATCCTGAACCATTAATTAATTTATGAAATAATCTACGATCAGTAGTTTAGGCATTAAACAGTTTTTAAAATAATCGACGACCAACAGTTTCGGTATCAAATCAATATATATAGTAATTGACGATCAACAGTTTCGGCATCAAATCAACATATGTCATAATTGACGATCAACAGCTTCGGCATCAAATCAACTTATCATAATTGACGATCAACAATTTCGACATTAAATCAACATATGTCATAATTGACGATCAACAGTTTCGACATCAAATAAACATATGTCATAATTGACGATCAACAGTTTCGGCATAAAATCAAGATATGTCATAATTTACAACTAATAGTTTCGGCATCAAATAAACATGTCATAATTGACGATCAACAATTTCGACATTAAATCAACATATGTCATAATTTACGACTAATAGTTTGGACATTAAATAAATTATATAATAGCCATAAACCTTCACATAAATAGACCACGCCAGTATCTGGTAGACCCACCATATTGTTAGCCGTTTCGATTTACTGTCATAAATTATCATAAATAGTTTTCCGTGTATTTAAGATAAGTAATTTTAATTTCGTCGATTCATCACCGAATATATACATATTGCAAACCGTGGCAAGTGTCCGGGCGTTGGTCTGTCTCCCGTTTGCGGCAGCCGCTTCCCGCACGCGTTTGAAAAGATGCGCACGCAGGCAAAGCTCAACATTCATTTGTTGATGTCAAATTTTATTTCGCAAGCAGGATATTCTACACTAAATTGTTAGAAATTAATCACATTATCATCCACATTTAAAAATGTGACGTAACTTAAAGAATACAAATGTAGATTTATCACATGTCGTTGTTGAGCGTCTCTTAGCATGACTGAAATGCTAAACAATTACTTTTCGCGGTGGGCGGTATAAATAGATGAAAGCTTTGTCTCTGAGTGAAACCAGGAATACAACACAATTGACATTGTTAAAGTCCATGAAATAATTCAAACTGATAGATTAACTTAAACTTTTCGCGTCACTGGGGACGGGTACTTTTGCTTGTCTCGAATAATTTACACGACAGCCAAAGATTAAACTGATCACACAATTTTTTAACCTTGTCAGTTAACACTTTAGAAATTTGAATGGGCGTATGGTGATTAATAAAAGTATAAATTAGAATATGTTAAAAGAAGGAGCAGATAATGCCAATAATCCAAGGTGATATTATTTTAAAAAGTAGTCACATCATTCATAGAAAAGTCAAAAATATAAACTTTAAAAAAGGCTATTTTAATTAAATCTTACCTTTCAGTTGTTTCGCCACGTTCTTAGTTGAATCTAACCAGTGCTGAAAACAAGTAAAACAAAAACATTAAAAATCTTATCAATACATGACCATCTTCTTTGCCACAAGTGAAACTGAAGGGCACAGAGTAATCACATACATTAGTAGACATCTTTATAAATCCCTAATATGCATGTTTTGGGCAGCCTGCCAACCACATGCTTCAAGTGTTTTGTCACCTGTAAATCACATCCTGAAAATTGAAAGAATACTTGGAAAAGCTATGGGAATAAAAACAGATGTCAGTTTTCCACACGAACGAAAACAATAAAACGAGAAAATAAATGTGTTGTTAATTTATATCATTATTGTTGCGAAAATAAATTTGTAAAAAATTTTCAAATCCGGAATTATTTTCCTTAAGATAGATATACTGACGATTTAACTAGTATTAATAATCCAGTAAAAAGTAATTATATTGGTAACATTTATTCTAAGTTATTTCACATTTGAAATTTTTGTACTTTTCTCTCCAAACAGTAATTTACCAACAAATAGCATGCAGGGTATTATACATTAACAGCTTCTTAAATATTGTAAAATTTGTAGTAATGTACAGTTCTTAATATCTAATATTAACACATTAGTACACAAATTCATTTTAATGGTTTTTGATTGAAAACTTTAATTAAATATTTTAAAGTATTTTATAATAAATATAAAAAGTATTTATATAAACATGAAAATAGCGATTTAAACAAGATTATAATATACACTATGAAAATAATTTCTAAAATTCATTGTAAGGGAATAATTGGAATCACTTGGTGGATTCTTTGTATCATCTTCCCTATATAAGACCCGCTATTGTGTGGATCTCTTTAGAACCGCCCCCCAGTGGCACAGCGGTATGTCTGCGGACTACAACGCTAGGAACCTGGTTTCGATACCCGTGTTGGGCACAACACAGAAGCCTATTGTATATCTTTGTGCTTAACTTCAAACGACGACAACAACTCCTTAGGACCACTAAAGATCCAGATAACAGCATCAAAGGATGGGACCTATACTAATAATTTAGGTTAGGCTTAGTATAGTAATACTTTAACATCTTGTTGGTAGTTATGCCCAAACATCATTTTGTGGGCTGGAATGATAACTTCAAGGATAGTTTGTGGTCTCTTCCATTGATGTCTTGTATTCTAATTATTTCTTTTTATAATTGTTTTTCTTTTACTTATATGTTTTTGTGAAGCAACCACTTTCCCACATCTGGCTGCAGACAGCAAAAGGTGGTAAAGATGTGGGACATTGTGGGCTAGAGCACCCACATCTGGCTCCCATTTTTGTTAAGCATATGAAGCCGGCAAAATTGAGGTTAAACTGGATAAACGGTGTACCCCAAGGCAATTTGGGCCTTATTTACACTGGTAACTAAAGCAAAACAAAAAAACAGGATATATTACCCAATGATCCACCTTATAATCTGTGTTCAGATGTTAGATGTTTGTTTGGTGGCTGCATTTTTTTCTTCTTCTTTTAAAGAAAACACCATATTTGTAATTATATCTTAAAAACTGCTTGTCATAGTCATATTGACAATCGTACGATTTGTACAGGAGAGACTGAGCACGTGACAGGGTGTTTAAGAAACTGTTACATAACATGTTCAATACGTTTTCCATCATTCTCAGTCAGTGCATGAAGTTTGTCCCTAAATGAAGCTAATGAAGCCTTATCGTTCTGGCCAGTCTTCACTAGTCCTTGCTGATATATGAACCTCATTGTTCTGGCCAGTTTTCACTAGTCCTTGCTGACTATTGCTATTGCTTTTTTCCGGACAATTTTCTTGTAGTGATAGCAGTCT